GAAAGAGTTACCTCATTATTAGCAGGTGGTGCAACAAGACTGGAACAAATAATAAAAACAAGCTATTTTCAAGGCTCAAATGGTACAAGATGTGCTCCTTAAGCAGTTAAAATAATTTCAAACATCAAACTGCAAACACATTTTGTGTATTTAGATTTTTGCATTTGTTTGTCTGAATATAACATAATGAACATCTATTGTTGATAACCTTACCGCAGTAAGGTTGATGGTTTGGATCGGATGCGTTTTGAAGCTATCTGTTTGCTTTTATAGCCACAGCTGTCAGTACAGCTTCTGTGTTACTATTAAAATGGTTAGTACATATTAAATAACAGCTGCCATAGTCCACACACTTCAATGACTCACATTCAGAGCAGGTGTGTTGTATTTATACAGTAGATTGCAATGCTTATAACTTTAAATTATCATTAGGTCTTTCCTTTAAATAAATCAACTCTTTAATCATTTTTTATTATTAATGCAACAAACAGTAAGACTAAACAAGTTGTTCATGTTTTACATCGTTAAATAAATAGTGATGCTCACAGAATTTTTGGACATTACGCTGAGTTTTACGTCCGCTCTGCAACACTTCTGCACAGCAGTGTGTGAGAATCATCTTATTAAACAGCATGTTAGATAGACATCACCTTGCCCAAAATATTAACTCCAGCATCAAATATTTAATGATAAAATTCCCACAAGAAACCATTTGAGTGGATATGTGTCATATACTTATAAAAAGTGGCAGCTGCTGTATTTCTTTTCTATGTTTTTGTAGCAACAGGGGTTCCTCCTTCTTAGCCACCCTCGTTATTCTGGTAACGAGGCAGGGCATGGGGCTTTGTTTCAATATTTAAACACACAGACACCCCTCAAGGCTCCACGTCCGGGCCGCCTCAGCCTTTCATTACCGTCTGCTGGCAAAGGGCCCTCCTTTTTTATTTATTTATTTTTTCAAAGAGATGGATCTCTCTGACAACTCCCCCCAGCTGTGCCACCATCCAGACCTGAACAACTAGCGGGGGCTTGTTGAACATGAGGCCCCTGGGTGACACCTCTTACCCCCGGTGCCGAGATGACAGAAACAGTGAAAACTACGGGTGAAAAGGGAATTCTCCCTCAGCAGTGAGCGTTGGCAACGACAGCCTGTTCCATTTCACAGCATCCAGTCATCCTCGGCTCTTTCTGTCTCAGTTCAGAGAGGCTCACGGAGTCTGTCAGCAGCGTGGGGAGGAGCTGGCTGAGTGCTGAAGCATTTCTGACGGACAGCTCTATAATCTATAATGCCAGTGTTGATGCTTCACCTTGCTGGATTCCTGCAATTTGAAGTTCACGAAATGCTCAAACTGGCAATAAAAATGATTCAGAACAAAAATCTACTGCAGCAGAGAGAATCAGCCCTTACACCTGAATAAAAAAATATCAAAGTAAACAAAACCCGGCAAAGTAGCACAATTCTAATTTACTAATGTTTCAGTCGCTCGTGGAGTTCAAGTTCAAGTTCAAGTCTACTTTATTGTCATTATCATCACATGTGGTGCATGAGGTGGAACAAAATTATGTACACAGGGTCCCAACAATAGCAAAATATAAAGTATAAAAAGAAACAGTAAATAAGGATCGAAGATATAAAGATACGACGAACACTAAAAGATGATACACGCTAAACATTAATAATGTAAAACAATATGGTGTAACAGCAGCCCAAACATGAGTCTGTGTGAGCAGATGGGTATAAATGAATACAGCAGCATGAGATAATCAGCAGCATGAGATCAGCCGCATGGATGGATAATGAGCAGCACAGATAAGTCACATATCACCAATTAAAGTGGCATTACAGTCATCGTTACATTAAAAATTAAACTAGCATTCTTAAAAATAATGCATATTTGCCCCAGTTTTGAAAACCAGGGTTTTACACAAAGCTTTCACATGATTTGTTAAGAATCAAACTATATGCTTGGGATCACTCTCAGCTACTACCACACCAGATCTTAGGTCAGTATGTCTTAACCTGACTGAGTAATAACCAATTCTGTGTTTGACAAAGTTTATTAGCTGTGGTGGCCATTTAATTTGGTTACCTCCAAAAGATAATCTGTTATATGTAAAGCTGACTGAGGAACAGCTTCTACCCTGAAGCTGTTAGACTCATAAATCCCCAAGCAGGAAAATCACTGTAATGCCATTTTAATTGGAGATTTGACACTTGATCTGTGCTGCTGATTATCCATGCTGCTGATTCTTACCCACCTGCTCACAACAGACTCATGTTCAGGCTGCTGTTTAATACACTGTATTATACTATACAGTATTATTATTGTTTAGTGTATATCTTACATCCCTGTATACTGTTTCTTTTTTATAGTTTCTATTTTTGCTATTTTTGGGTGTAACTGGGACCTTGAGTACACATTTTCGTTCCACCTCATGTGCCACATGTGATGCATGACAGTCACCTTGAACCTTATGCATCCAATAGGAATTTGCTGTACGTTTCAACATAATCAGTTCACTGTTTGATGAGATATTTTGCTAACACAATGACAAATGAACCCACAATTACATGTAGGTCATTCTTGACAGTTTTTTTTTATTAAAAAACTTATTTTTTTCCCTTTTTATCAAAAAAACACACAAGAAACATAAAAAGCTTGTCAGCGGATTGAAAATCTAAATTTTGTATTTACTTATAAATTAGCAGAAATTAGGAACTAAAGCTATGAGGACAAAATAATTTGTCCATGCTGCATGATGACGGTCAAGCCGCTGCGCTCAGTCCCGTAATGATTTAACTCTGCCGGCTGTGGGATCGATGCATGCTGATAAAGAGAATCCCAAAGCAGGGTGAAGTTTACAGAGCTTTAGCCTTAGGCTAAATGTTGTACAAAAACCAGCAACAACATCCCCTGAGATGAAGCGTATCTGTTGCTCCAGCTGAGCTTGTACTTGTAGGAGGTTTTAAATGTGCACTGAAGGATAGCTCTTATTGAAGAGAAGTGTATCCTAAAGGTAACACTGTCGACTTTTCATTTCATGCTTTTTATTTTCGGGTTTTTTTTTTCTTCTGCGGCGGTGAAAGTCGACTGCTGAATGATTAGCGTTTTGGTTTTCCAGCTATCTCCTCCAATTTTCTGAGTTGATTGTACGGCTTTAGTCAATACAATACAACGGCGGAAAAAGCTTTTTTCTCTTCATTTCTGACCCTGGTTTTTGCTGAGAGCTTATTTCCATCCCCCTTTATTATTCTTTAAGCAGGCAGCAGACATAAATTCAATCTTCCTTATTATACCTTTATCAGTATGAAATTAAGGTTAATTGACTTTGCTGGGGAAGCATCAAATGAAACATCCCTAATGGAAGCAAAATGAAAATAACGTCATCTCCAATTGCTTTAAAATATTTCTCAATATACAGCCTACTTTCCTATTCCTGAGCCTCAGAAATAAGCTCCTCTTGTCCCAGGAGATAATAAATGAATTGAATCCCCCAACTCCAGCCCTTCCTTTACCCCCCCCCCCCCCCCTTCCTTATCGGTCATCTATTTTTCCAGAGTAAGCTATTACTTGCTGAGGTTGCTAGGCAACAAGAAATATTAATAGCGGCTATTATTAGCCAGCCTCTGCTGGAGTAGTACTAAAATGTGGAAGTGGGAAACATGAATGTGTTACATAAATCTCTGGACCTTTCACAGTGTGTGCAAGTCTCTGTTTGTGCGATGATTTATGGCGATGACGGTTCTTTTATGAGAAAAGGGGGTGTGAAATAAGAAAATGGAACATTACCCTGAAGGGCTATTTGAAAATAAATAATTGCAAAGGTGAAACAAAAGCTGTTTAAGAAACAGGCACTCCCTCTCTGTTTGCTGCTTAAATGTTACAGAATAAAAAAAGGGCCTTTCTTTGCCCAAATGGGTCAAACGCATCCAAACACAATGTACAGGATATCTTAATATCAATAGAAACTAATTGTTCTAGTCCTGTCTAAACATCTATCTTAACTAAAATGACAGATTTAGTTGCAGTCAACAAACATGTGGTTTGTATGGTAAATCTAAAGACTAGTTATATTGGAGGCTTCAGCTACCACCCATAGAAAAACAAGGAGTCAGTAACTTATGCAGTTTGATTCTGAAAATCACATAAGACCTGATTATTGGAGGATAAATGCCATGGATGCTCACATTAAAGCATAAATATTCATGGTGCAGGGCAGAGAGAGAAAGAGAGAAAGAAAAAAAAGTAATATTTATGTCAGATGAAAGTATATAACACTGAATAATTCACCACACGAGCCATCTATAATTCATTTGATTCGATTCTATGATTAAAGCATTGAAATGTGTTCGCCAGGGGTGTTTACATGTTCAGTCTGAAGCGTGTTTAACATAAGAGAAAGTCGCATCGCTGGAGTGGAATGGGGGAATGGGCATCCTCAGCATCTCTTTGAAAAGAAAAAGTAGCTGACAAGGGATACCGCCCCACCCACCACCACATCCACCCTTCATCCCCATCAAGATGTTCTGCTAAAACCAATGCCCCACTACACCCCACTGTCCTGTTCTCCCTTTTTTTTTTTGCTTTGGGAATAAAAACGTTCTTTTATGAATTATTTTGAGCCAAGCAGCAGATTGGATGTTGACGCTGCAAACGTCTCTGAGTTAAGGTGTTAGCTGGAAATGAGAAAGCTTGCCCCCGTGTGTTTCCATTTTCTTGGCCTTTAGCTGACAAGAGAGCTCCTAACTATTAAAAATGCACAAAACAAATTGTTGAAATAAGCACGCATGCGATGATATTTAGCCATTTCTGTTTGGTTGTTTCACAAGAGTTGTGAATCAAACTGAACTATCCACGTTGGAAACATGTGGAACCTTCAGAGAAAATCTTCCAAGTTGTTGGCTGGTTTCCAATGACTGCAGACTGTTGTAACAGTGTTTTGACTTGCATAAACGCCCAAAGCTAAAAAGAGGAAGAAAAAAAAAAAGATATACTTACAGAGTGCATAGGCCCAGAAAGGAGGTGAGTGTCCTGACCCAGCATATTGGACATCATGAGGGCAGGCAGCTCGGGGTAGGAGTAGGAGTTGAGCAAACCATTGTGGGGCAGGGAGTGGAAGGGGTAGCCTGACTCATGCTCCGCGAGATGGAGCAGAGAAGGGTCAACGTGGTTTGGAGGTGTGATGGGGGGGATCTCGTAGTCTTCATCCCCTGCCCCTCCTCCTCCTCCACCCCCACCGCTGCCTCTGCCCTGATTAGAGTAGCTCTGAAAGAGAGTAAAAAGAAGAAAGGGGTTGCAAGTAAAAAAAAAAAATGCATTCACAGCAAACTTCACTTATTTACTCGTTGTCATGCTTTGCAACAAAGTGATTTTGTCTCCACATGCATAGAAAAATGCTTTTAAGTCACAAAAAGACTATTTTACACATGTGGGCGAATTGGAATATACACTGTGCAGCAAATAAATACAAAATACAATTATAACATATCTAAAACTGTATGACCTTGCACCTTAAAGCTTAGCTTATACATATTAGCATGCTATCTGTTTTAAATAGCTTTTTGAACTAAGTCAGTGTAAAGAAAAAATAGATCAGACTGACATGCTAAATGCTAATCCAAGGGGGCCAAGAGAATTACTGACAGCCTTAAAACAACTCCAAAAATGTCTTAGTGATTCATGCAAACATTATTTTATTAACGTTAATGCTACTGAAGGTTTTGTATTACACAGCTATTTACAAATAATTCTTTAGTATGGTGTTAGCAATAGCTAGCTGTAACACTTCTGGTGCAGCCCGGGGCACTTCCTGCAGGGAAATCACAATATTTCTGCCAGAATAACTAAATAAATGCTAAACTAGGAGCAGTGTGAAGGTTTATAGTGTTCACATGAACAGCTATGAAATATTGGTGGTTGGAATTGTTTTAAAATGGCAGCAATAAACGTTTACACTAAATTCTTTAATCTGGTCGAAATTAAACTGCATTTCTCTAATTTGGAGTTGTTTAAAAATCTGTCTACAGCAGGTATGAAATACACAATTCATAACTTTTCCACAGAAACCCACACTGAACAATTCAAATAATGCAATAGTCATAAAAAAGAGACAATGAAAATATTGCTCTTATATATAAACCATTTCAAAAAGTGCACACAAGATGTTCCAGTCCAAATAAAAAAGCTTCTTAACTATCATTTAAATGCACCTTGTTGGTTATTGTTGTTTATATGATTATTCCTGCAGCCTTTACAAAAAGAACTGCAGCAGCCTGTTCAGTCTGTTGTACAACAAAATAAAGAATAATTACAAATGCAAATTATTTCGCTTCAGAAAGTGTAAAGAATCCATTCAGTACAAATGTACGGAGTAAATTAATTAGCGCGACAACAACAGCGGCTGTGCAGAATGATTTACTTTAGAAATACTGACAGCTTTGAAGCAACAAACTGTCAGCCTGAAATGCCTTTAAAACCCAGTTAATCAATTTCATTATGTGGGGAAAACACACCACTGATAGTCACTTAGTGGCTATTTTTTATTCTCAATAATTATCACTACAATTATATTTTTATTCAACAGAAAAGTAAACAAATCTCACAGTTCTCATTGTGAAATAAACATAGAATGACCGAGTGACCCAGGACAGTTAAAACAGCAGAGATTTTTTATGGTGCTAACAAGGTGATACATGGGAAACTGTCTCTTCCTGGGCATATCTTGACATAATGTTGCACCGAGAAATATGGTTTTGTGCTCTCAAAAAGCACACTGAGGGTATTCACCAGGGAGTGAAAAGCAATTTTGTCAGAGGCAATCTGATGCCAACTCTCTTTTATAATGACTGAAGAAAATTAATCATTGCAAATAATATTCCAGTGTCAGCCACTCAAGAGCTTTTTAATAGAATTTTTATTATTCATGTCTCGTGGTACACATCAACTAGTCCGTTCTGCAACATTTCAGAAATCAATTCAATATCATCTTCGTGTAGGCTGTCATCCCGCCTGCCAGCGCAGCAATTCATCTTGAAAACAAATACTTTTAGCGAACAAATGGCAAGAAATGTTGGGAAACAGCTGCAATATGTGCCCAATAGTAGAACTGGTGCTTGAAGATAGGATAAAAAAGTCATAATGTGCACTATCATTTGAGAGCAAATAATCATGATAATAAAAAAAGAAGAGTATGTTTACTATCAGGGGGGTGATGTGCTATTTTCTTCTCCCATAACGTGAATCGCTCCGTGCTTGTTCAGAAATATTATCAGGACAATTCCTTTTCCCATTTTGAATGTTTTGTCTGTTTTTGAACATTTAGTCTCGTAGCCGTTTACAATTATTATTAGCAAACATGACATGCAGACATAATTCAGCACAAGCACAAATAAATCCCATCATGCTGTGCTCCGACTCTTTGAAATGACGTCGGACAACTTATCAGGGAGCAAAACTGTGGCAGTAACAGTCTGTTGAACAAATGTCATTTAAACAGCGACAGCTTGCTTTTATTCTCCACGACACCAAGGAGCCTCAACAGGTAAATACTTGGCATTCATATCTCTTGGATTGTGGTGTGATGTGAAATTGTTGCTCATTATCGCCCGCCGACAGAGAAAGAGGTGATATCTTTGTCTGTCTGTGTGTTTGTCTGTTAGCAAAATATCTCATGGACCTTTAAATAGATTTTAATGAAACTTTAAGAAATTACTGAATGAACATCCACAAGGGCCACCTGCATCATGAAGGACTCCACTCACCCAGCACACACTTTTTGCCCTGCTCCCCTCAGGAAGGAGGTTAAGGAGCATTAAGTGTAGAACCACTAGACTGAGGAACAGCTTCTACCCCGAGGCTGTTAGACTCATGAATCTCTAACCAGAATAATCACTGTGAAGAATCACATCATGTTGCTGCTGATCTGTTTCATGTTGCTGCTGATCTGTTTCCTGTTGCTGTGTTCATTCATGCTCATCTGCTCGCGCAGGCTCATGTTTGTGCTGCTGTTTGGCGTATTGCGTTAATTGTTTTTATGTTATTGATGCTTAGTGCATATTTAGTTAATGTTTTTCTTAGTTCATATCTTAGATCTTATTACTGTTTATCTTTTACATTTTATTGTTGGATGTAACTGGGACCCTATGTACATAATTTCGCTGACAATAAAGAATCTCTGAATCTCTGAACTGATAAACTGTTGTAGTCAACCCCATCCAAGATGGCCACCACAGGTAAGCTATAAGGCAGCTCACTTTACTGACATTGAGCTAATATTTTAAACACATTATTTTAGTGCTAACTAATTGCATGAGATTGTTTTTGAATACTTTGCCATAAACCAAATAGAGCCTCCTGTGCCTGTCTGTTAGCAAAATATCTCAAATCATTGGACAAGTTTTAAAGAAGCACTTAGATAGTAAGCTTTATGTGTACTTACAAACCATTAACATTTGGAGTCCCAATTCAAGATGGCTACCACAGCTAACTGACATTAGCCAACACACATATGGCTGCAAGTCAGCCAGTTTTAGTTATTGTGCAAACAAATTTGGCGTTTGAGAGTCATTCCCAAAACACTCAAGTACTACACATTGGACATCTTTGCCTAAGACTTTCCTATTAACTGTTAAAGATAACGTTGTCTGACTGTCAGCAAAATATCTCATGAACAGCTGGATGGGTTTTAACCATTTCAGAGAGCAACCATTAGCTGCAAATCTAAAGCAGCTAATTCACTCCATTAGCGCCCTGTCAAATTCAGAATATAATTCTTATAATACAGATCTTATTGTTCCATATTTTCCTAACAGAGCACTTTGCTCTCAGACTGCAGGCTTACTTGTGGTTCCTAGAGTTTCCAAAAGCAGAACGGGATGAAGATCTTTCAGTTCTCAGGCTCCTCTCTTGTGGAACCAACTTCCAGTTTCTGTCTGTGAGGCCGACACATTGTCCAGTTTTAAGACTATAGACATAAACTGAATTGAACTGAAATGAATTTATGGGTTCACTTTTGGATTCAACTCATTGAAAGGTGGCCACCACACCTAATTGACCTTAGCCAACACATAAATGGATACAAGAGTCATATTTACTGATATTAAGCCATATTTTGATGTAGTAGTAGGAAAGGAGTAAAAATATTAAAAAGTTTGGGATGTAATCCCCTGATGGATGGTAAAATCCTCACTAATAGTTGCCGACCATTTATTGAGCATAAATTAACATACTCAAGTTAGTTATTGTATCCTAAAGTTTCTTTTTTCCAGTAATTTATTAAGGCACCAAATAGCAGAAAAGAGCTGATGAGCAGCGTACACTATTTTAGATCTCTCTAGTGTAAACAGTTATATTTAGGAGGCCTTTATTCTTCCCAAGATGAAACATAGCTGTAGTCAAATGCATGCGAATTGAATTCTGTCAGAGACAATTTTATGATCATGCTTTTCAATGTGTTCGTGTTTACATTTTTTCCCCCTCTTTACAGTTTTTTATGATGCCCTTTGAGATAAGACACAGGACAAGGACATCACAAGTTTAACATTTTCAAACATGGATAAATAATTCATAAATACACTGTCTTTCAGGACATGGAGAGGAGAAGATAAAAGAAAGAGGGGTCAAAAAGAAACACCAAATGTTGATTAGGCCTTCTCTCACTATAACCTTCAACCCCTCCTCCCCCCTTTAATGCACACCCCTCTACACACACATCCCTCTGCAGAGGTGAAACTTAAGCAAGTCTGTCATCTTTCTCAGACAAGGACTTTTGAGGACTCTACAACGCAATCAAAGCAATGTTTCCTTAATTTTCTTTTGTTGACATTTACATGATGGCGGTCGAGCCATCATCCGTGACTGCACATCAAACACCATATTGTTCTTGTTACTCTTTGACCGAGTTTCGAGATGTGAAATGGTGCTCAGAGGCACATTGGCTGTCATCACGTTTAAATCACTTCCTGGTTCTGTAAAAGTCACAATATACCACAAAATAATCTTAATTTAATAAAAACATATAGGAAAACACACATGACAAGCACAATTTCTGATGTTCTAAAGAAAAAAAAACATCTAAGAGCTAATTATTATAGTCATTTAACACAAGTTGAGTTTGCATTAAGTAAAATGTAAATATATAGCAGAGATGCAATATACGCAAACCGTGCTTGAAGGAAATACATAGCAAATGATTTTGCATGGTTAAAATCTTTTTGTTTTTGTTTCAATTTAAGCTTGTGTGAGAAAATCTGACCGACTGTTCAGAA